AAATTCTTTTTGTTAAATTGTGAAGGTTTTTGTTTTGCTTTTTATTTTGTTTTACTAAATTTCTTTATGTTAGATTATGAATTTTTTTCTTCTTTATTTTCGTTTATAACTTCTGGTTTTATTTTGGTTAAATCACGAATGTTTTTTCCTTTCTTTTGTTTTTGGTAACTTCTGGATTTCATTAGATTAAATTATGAATGTCTTTGGTTTAACGTTTTAATTTCTTCGAGCTACCGACTGAAATTATTGTAAAGCAATACTTATTTACGCCAAATCCAAGGTCACAAGTACTCGAAATGTAAATTACCAGTCGGGCACGTGGACAATGACGAGTTGAATGTTTAACCGATTTCTGTATTCCGGTTAGGTGCATGACCCCCCCCCCCCCCCATCCCCGTTAGATGGCGGCATATTGCACAGCTGGTGTAGTTGAATAAAACATCAAATTTGTCCATCTATCCTAAGCCTATATCTTCACGACTTAATATCGCATTGTTCACGTTTTAGTAGATGATTCTAGCCCTCCAATCCATCATCTTCATTTCCCGCAGACGTGCTCTTTGAGACATGCTCCCCCCACCCCCACCTATCTCGGAAGAATGCCTGAAAGAAACTCTGCAACTAACAAGCAACAAGACCGCGAGTACAGTTATGAAAAACATTCGCCAGAAAGGAAAAAAACAACAACAACATAAAACAATGAAAAGTGTGGAAAATAAAATCGATGGGATATAAACAGCCTGTTGTTACAAACAAACGCTGGATACACATTTTTAAAAGCGCAGGTAAGTTATAAACTCATGATCTCAAAGATTTTATAGTAACACCAGCAGTGGTTGGGTAGGGGTATTACAACAGGGATGTAAGTCCCCCCCCCCACACACACATACACACTTTAACTTCTATCAGTGAGTAACAAAGACAAAGCAATAGGTTTATTTAACAGGCCTATTTTAATTTGACTCGACGATAATGATATCTACCGTTTGCTGGTAAAGGAATGAAAGCCTCTGATCGTTGTTAGATTTGAACTAGCCAGTTCTAGAATTAAATCGTGCATTATAGGTTGCAAGTTTTTAACTAACCAGTTCTAGAATTAAATCGTGCATTATAGGTTGCAATAGTTGAAATAGCCAGCCATAGAATTAAATAGACATTAGCTGCGTGTAATAAATGGACTTTGAGTTCCCCCTGTCAGATATAGCCCAAAAAATGGACCATGCCCCCCCCCCCCTTCTCATCCCCAATGCGAGAGATAGTCCAATAAATCGACTATGTGGTCCCTATCAGAGATAGTCTAATAAATGGACTAAGTCAGAGTTAGTCCAAAAAAAGAAGGTGACGCAATGTTTACACACGATGACGTAAGCAAATGGCCAGTGAGTCACATTAGTCAGCAATGGCCGACAGTGTTTGTACTTGTATGAGCAGCCACTACAATACGTTGTGTTCTACTGGCTCTACCCTTATGCAATGAAGGCGAACTATAGAGATAGAAGACTCAACAGAAGTAAATTTCTCTTTTCGAACCTGACGGTCCATGGGACAAAGAAGTGAAGTAGTGCACCTGTTTCTGTAACCTCGGCAAATGAAATGATAGTGTGGTCAGCACTATGCCCAGCCGCCTTTAGTTTCCCTAACGCTAACTAGGTACCCATCAAAGCTGGGTAGACTCGGGGACGTTTTACTGACTGGAACCCGGATTCGAACTCGAGACTTTCTGGTTGGCAGTGTAGCGCTCTACCACTAAGATAGAACACCATGAGGTAAAATTAGATACAGTGGCGTCGCAAGGAGTTGCGGTCTACCCCGATTGACACCCCCCCCCCCCTTTCGCAAACTATATAACAAGTGCAGGAAACAAAGAAAGCTGTGCCAAATACACTTTTATAAAGGCTTCTTTACAGACTGGAGAGTTCTTACTGCAGATGAAGTAGAGTTTGTTTCTATAATGTCAGCAGTGAATTCGACTGTGGACTCGAAACAGGGAACCGAACTCGGGATATTTGGGTGAGCATTCGTGTGCTCTACCAATCAACGATGCCTTAATATAGGAAAGGGAGGCAACGGCGAACATCCATTCCTCTGCCTTTGAAGTCCACCTTTCGAGAACCCAAAACTCAGTGTTCCATATCCATTCTATCTACTTAAAATGTTACTATGACGGAATAAATTCAGCTTTTTTTAAGGGTGGGGATGGGGTGGGGATGGTGTCTTAATATGTAGCATGCACCAGGGAGAGAGTTTTTAAATATTGTTAACTACTGTAATTGTTAACTACTGCAATAGTTAACTCCTGCAATTATTAACTACTGCAATTGTTAACTACTGCAATAGTTAACTCCTGCAATTATTAACTACTGCAATTGTTAACTACTGCAATAGTTAACTCCTGCAATTATTAACTACTGCAATTGTTAACTACTGCAATAGTTAACTCCTGCAATTATTAACTACTGCAATTGTTAACTACTGCAATAGTTAACTCCTGCAATTATTAACTACTGCAATTGTTAACTACTGCAATTATTAACTACTGCAATAGTTAACTACTGCAATTATTAACTACTGCAATTGTTAACTACTGCAATAGTTAACTCCTGCAATTATTAACTACTGCAATTGTTAACTACTGCAATTATTAACTACTGCAATAGTTAACTACTGCAATTATTAACTACTGCAATTGTTAACTACTGCAATAGTTAACTCCTGCAATAATTAACTACTGCAATTATTAACTACTGCAATAGTTAACTCCTGCAATTATTAACTACTGCAATTGTTAACTACTGCAATTATTAACTACTGCAATAGTTAACTACTGCAATTATTAACTACTGCAATTGTTAACTACTGCAATAGTTAACTCCTGCAATTATTAACTACTGCAATTATTAACTACTGCAATAGTTAACTCCTGCAATTATTAACTACTGCAATTGTTAACTACTGCAATTATTAACTACTGCAATAGTTAACTACTGCAATTATTAACTACTGCAATTGTTAACTACTGCAATAGTTAACTCCTGCAATTATTAACTACTGCAATTGTTAACTACTGCAATTATTAACTACTGCAATTGTTAACTACTGCAATAGTTAACTCCTGCAATTATTAACTACTGCAATTGTTAACTACTGCAATTATTAACTACTGCAATTGTTAACTCCTGCAATTATTAACTACTGCAATTGTTAACTACTGCAATAGTTAACTCCTGCAATTATTAACTACTGCAATTGTTAACTACTGCAATTATTAACTACTGCAATTGTTAACTACTGCAATAGTTAACTCCTGCAATTATTAACTACTGCAATTGTTAACTACTGCAATTATTAACTACTGCAATTGTTAACTCCTGCAATTATTAACTACTGCAATTGTTAACTACTGCAATTGTTAACTACTTCAATTATTAACTACTGCAATTGTTAACTCCTGCCATTGTTAACTACTGCAATTGTTAACTCCTGCAATTATTAACTACTGCAATTGTTAACTACTGCAATTGTTAACTACTGCAATTATTAACTACTGCAATTGTTAACTCCTGCCATTGTTAACTACTGCAATTGTTAACTCCTGCAATTGTTAACTACTTCAATTATTAACTACTGCAATTGTTAACTACTGCAATAGTTAACTCCTGCAATTATTAACTACTGCAATTGTTAACTACTGCAATTATTAACTACTGCAATTGTTAACTCCTGCAATTATTAACTACTGCAATTGTTAACTACTGCAATTGTTAACTACTTCAATTATTAACTACTGCAATTGTTAACTCCTGCCATTGTTAACTACTGCAATTGTTAACTCCTGCAATTATTAACTACTGCAATTGTTAACTACTGCAATTGTTAACTACTGCAATTATTAACTACTGCAATTGTTAACTCCTGCAATTATTAACTACTGCAATTGTTAACTACTGCAATTGTTAACTACTTCAATTATTAACTACTGCAATTGTTAACTACTGCAATTGTTAACTACTTCAATTATTAACTACTGCAATTGTTAACTACTGTAATTGTTAACTACTGCAATTGCTAACTACTGCAATTGTTAACTACTGTAATTGTTAACTACTGCAATTGTTAACTACTGTAATTGTTAACTACTGCAATTGTTAACTACTGCAATTGTTAACTACTGCAATTGTTAACTACTGCAATTGTTAACTACTGCAATTGTTAACTACTGCAATTGTTAACTGATTCAATTATTAACTACTGCAATTGTTAACTACTGTAATTGTTAACTACTGCAATTGTTAACTACTGCAATTGTTAACTACTGCAATTGTTAACTGATTCAATTATTAACTACTGCAATTGTTAACTACTGCAATTTTTAACTACTGCAATTGGACTCGCGAAGACGCAAGTTATAATATTTTACATTCAACATTCACTGCCAAGTCTAATCAGTGAATGCTTCTCAAATTCAACGTATGCGCTCCTTAGTACAAGAGTTGATTTTCTGACCGTTTACAGTGTCAAATGTTATAAAATATTTAGGTTATTTAAGTAATTTAATGCTACCCATCCCCCAACATTTAAAAAGTAATAATCTGAGTTGAAACAACCTTTCTCACCAAATAATATGAGTTTAAACAATCGGATGATTGAGGATACATAAGTCCCACAATAGACTCTTCCGAAAACAGGTGTGCTAGGTTGTTAGCAGTAATATGATCTCGACTCGTTTTATGGTTAGAAATAGGCTTTGGCGTATGGTAGGACTAGGGTTGGGGTTGGGAGTTGGGTTGGGGAGTTGGGTTAGCATTGACATTAGTAAAAAATGTGTATTTTTAATTATTATTAATTAACTGCGAGTAACCTAACGCGATTAAAAAAAATTCTATTGTGGGGACTCTAGCGTAAAAACAACCCTGAACCTACTAATTAACAAATATAAACAATATTACCAAATAATCGAAAATTAAAAATCTTACAAAAAACCTGAATTCAAATAAACTTACCAAATAAGTTCCCTCAAGAGGGTGGACATGACAGCAGCTCCAACTCCACTTCCTGCCACCAGAATCATCTCCGCGAGTTCCCGCTTCCGCCGGAAGTACCTTCCCACCATGATGTTGGCCGTGACGATGGTGAAGCCGCTGCCTAGCGACATGACGACACAGTGGCTGGTGAACAGCTGCTCGTGCTGGGTGGAGAAGGCGAGAAAAAGGCAGCCCAGGGCGCTGATCAGGCCGCCGATGACCGCGAAGAGGCGCGGCGATTTCCTCCGGCAGATGATGGTGACGATGGGGGAGATGAAGAGGGACACGGCGATGCCGAGGCTGCCCAGCCAGGCTGGAGAAGAGAAAAGGTCGTTGATATCATTGTAAAGGAGAATTTAGTTCCGAAAAATGGATCTTAACCATGTTGTAATGTGGACAAGTTGCAAATCTTAAGACTGAATGATATAGCTTGTCCACAAAAAGGAAATTCTGATTTATGTAAATTAATTTTTTTTAATTAATTTTTTATGTGCACATGCAAATACTTATATATATATATATATATATATATATATATATATATATATATATATATATATATATATGTATGTTATATGTGTTATATATGTTATATATATGCATATATATATGTATATATTATATTATACATATATATGTATATTATATATATATATATATATATATATATATATATATATATATATATATATATATATATATATATATATATATATATATATACATACATACATACATACATACATATATATATATATACATACATATATATATATATATATATATATATATATATATATATATATATATATATATATATATATATATATATATATATATATATATATATATATACATGTATATATATGTCAAAATAAGGTTCTATATTAGACTTGCCTGTGGAAATGTCCGAAGTTCGAAATTTTTTCTGTATGGAGAGATAAAGGGTGCCATAGGCCAGGTGGAAGCCATTGCAGAGGGCGTGGACAACTGTGGCGGCACCCAGCACCACCCAGCCCCACCCGCCGTCCGGGTAGAAATCGCCAAAGTCAAACCTGTTGAGCGGCTTCACCTCCTGTCAACATTAGTTTATGACATTTACATTGACCATTTATTGTGTATCACATCGTGCTGGTTTTTAATATGAAAATTAAAATAGCTACATTAAAAAATGTGTGAATCATTAATATCGAGCCTATAATCCTTATTTTTATGTTTAGGATTACGTTTAGATTCAAAGGTGTTGTTAATTGTAATGGCTGGTGTTATTTATTATTATGGTCTTGATGGAGTATTCAGTGTGTGATTAAAGTATCATAACTGTCGACCTTTGCTGTATACGATTATGTGTACATTGGTAAAAGTAAAAGTAAATTCTCTACATCATCAATGTACATTTCATAATTGAACAGGAATCACGAGCTATGCGTTGCGTTTTTACATTATTAACTTGGTTTGTTTAACTTCCCTATGCATATGCTGAGAAAATCTGAAGGTAATTTTAAAGAAGAAAAAATCTGAATTGAGCAATGCAGCCAGACAGATACGGCTGGACTTTTTTTTTAAATAAAAGACTCATCCAGATAAAAACAACCAATTCAAGTGAAATGTCCAGCCTTAAGTGAAACACCCAGCCAAAAGCAGCCAAAAGTGAAACACCCAGCCAAAAGTGAAACACCCAGCCAAAAGTGAAACACCCAGCCAAAAGTGAAACATCTATCAAAATCTACCCATCCAGCCTAAAATGAAACACCCAATCAAAAATCTACCCATCCAGCTTAAAGTGAAACACCCCATCAAAAATCTACCCATCCAGCTTAAAGTGAAACACCCCATCAAAAATCTACCCATCCAGCTTAAAGTGAAACACCCCATCAAAAATCTACCCATCCAGCTTAAAGTGAAACACCCCATCAAAAATCTACCCATCCAGCTTAAAGTGAAACACCCCATCAAAAATCTACCCATCCAGCTTAAAGTGAAACACCCCATCAAAAATCTACCCATCCAGCTTAAAGTGAAACACCCCATCAAAAATCTACCCATCCAGCTTAAAGTGAAACACCCCATCAAAAATCTACCCATCCAGCTTAAAGTGAAACACCCCATCAAAAATCTACCCATCCAGCTTAAAGTGAAACACCCCATCAAAAATCTACCCATCCAGCCCGACCTAGCGAGGCCACTGGGTGACCCAGCCCTAGAGCCCAACCTACCTGTACACCCATACCGTCCCGCTTCCGTACAGCCAACGTCGTGTCGACCGTGGCCGGATTCGTCCCTGCGGCTCCTGTCCCCAGGGTCAGGGCTTGTCCAGCAGATCCGAGCTCCTGACCCAGGCTCCTGCCGCTCTCATCACTGGATGCCCGGGTCAGCGGGTCTCTCTCCCCGAAGGCGCCAGGGTCGGGGGAGGTCTTGTTGCTAAGCGGGGTGGGGGAGGGCATGGCAGCCCTGTGCGGGGGACCATCCCCGCATTCAACGCACGCGGCGTCGAAGATTTTACACTCGTTGTGCGTGGTGACCTTCGTTGTGCGTGGTGACCTTCGTGGTGCGTGGTGACCTTCGTTGCGCGTGGTGACCTTCGTGGGGAATGAAATGAATCCTCTTTTTTGTAGTCTACAATAGGATCATCTTGCGGTCGCTTTCGGACGATCGGTTTTATGACGCTGCATGCGAATTTTTTTTCAGTATCCGAAGAACATTACCTCGTCACATAAAACATGTAAAATTATTTTTTTAAACAATTACATTGCTACCATAACAGAAATAACAAAGTTCTTTGGTGAAATATCCACTTTGATAATCCACGTTTGAAAAAAACTCACAGGATTCTGCGGTAGAAAAGATGTCTTTGAATAATTATAGTCCCTCAATGTTGTCCTGCAGTTAAGTCACTCTATATTATATACAAACGCTGCATCATGTTCGAGTTTAAGTGATGTAGCGATGTAGATTTTTGTTATAAAAACAACGTTTGAAAATCGTGGTGAAACGAAGAATGGGTTACCTCCGCTGGCTGTTGTTTGTTCTTCCTGTGGGGTAAAAAAACTTAATGTTTACATTTTTTATACACATTTAGGCAACATTTGGAGCACATTAAAGCTACATTTATGTAACAAGGCTTCATTGGGGTAACATAAGAGGCAAATAAATAGTAGGAAAAAAATGAAACAAATGTAGAGAGCAATTATTTTATGTATGAACCAAACAGGTCTGGTGTAGTTAAAGCATTTATTTACATCGTGGAGAACTGATGTACTCTTTTTATAGGTCAGTGGTTCTTAACCTGGGTTCGATCGAACCCCTGGGGTTCAGTGAGTTAGTCTCAGGGGTTCGGCAGAGATCAAGAAACAACTGACTCAAATTATTCACGATCGGATTTTGTCAGTGCGGGCGATATAAAAACTAAGGAGGGTTCAGTGAATGCGCATGTAAAAGTGATGGGGTTCGGTACCTCAAGAAACTGTTAAGTACCAATGTTATAGGTAGTGCATATTTCGGCAAACGATAGAGGAAATACGCAAGGTGCTTATATCCTCTCACATCCCGTCAAGTAAATAAACAATGTGCTTGTATCCTCTAACTTCCCCTTTATAAGACTAGCACTGGAATATCAGTAGCATTATGGCTAGAACTTGGTTTATGATTTATGGTTAAATCAGGTGTTTATTATACAACTCAAAGCTGGTAACTTCACATGTAAAATTTCGGCTAATTTAAGCATAACACTTTTTGTATTTAGAGCGAGACTTAATCGCCCTTCAAGTTACAAGCCCCCTCCCCCCCCCCCTCCCCCGGGCAATACGGCATGTCTAGTTAATATGCAATTTAACGACTCAAAACTAAAGAAAACAAAACTCACTGTCGATAAAAGCTTTGTAAAAATAAGGTATGTATTCATTCAAAACTGGACACACGAACGTTAACTCCAACTAACAATACGTTATTTCTATTTCAGGTAAACGCCAAACCGACAGGTAAACGTTAACCCGACAGGTAAACGTTAACCCGACAGGTAAACGTTAATCCGACAGGTAAACGTTAATCCGACAGGTAAACGTTAACCCGACAGGTAAACGTTAACCCGACAGGTAAACGTTAACCCGACAGGTAAACGTTAATCCGACAGGTAAACGTTAATCCGACAGGTGAACTTAACCCACAGGTAAGTTTCAAATCTACCTACAAACCAGCGAGTCGTTACATAACTGTGTATGTAACGGCGTAACGGGACCACTCGTCTAAAACAAGAGTTGGGGATAAACCCACACCTACGGCCACCGCGTTTCTGTATTTGCGGGTGTTAAATATTTACAAGTCTAGGTCGTCTGCTGGCAGAATCACGTTAATCAAACACTGGAATCTGTCAACGTCGGCTCACGGGCGTGATGGGGAAAGTCTGAGCGTGCGTGGACATGCACCAGTGATCCCGTTCGTTAATCTCATCCGATGTTACTTAATAGAAGTTAATGTTAATAATGTTAATCCTTGTCGAAAAATCTTCACATTAAAATTTTCAGATAAGTCAATCGAAAATTAGATTTTGAAGAAAAAAAATCAAATGTACGGTTAATTAAATCATATGGAATTTAAAATATATTTGACTTATATTTATAATCCAAAGTTAGTTTTTCAAAACGTTTTCACAAGACCCCCCCCCCCCTCCCTACTTACTGTGTGCAGTCAGTAGTCGTAACTCGTGCATAAAACCAGCAATTAACAAATTTAGTAAAAACTGACTTTTTAGGAAAGAATGTTTAAAACATGAATGTAAAAAACATATAGATGTAGGCCTACGTGTACACTTTTTTTTTACGGTATCAGAACTAAATATGCATTTTATCGCATTAATTAAAATAGTTATAAATTGCTCTCTAACGAATTAAAATGTAGGATAGCTAGTCTTATATAATGACTCTAACTTATTAAAATCTCGAATAACGGTCTTGTATATTAGATTTCAAATGCGTTAAAATGTAGAATAATTAGTTTTATATCATGACTCCATTAAAATGGAGAATGCATTAAAATTTAGGTTAACTAGTCCTGTGTAATGACTCATTACAATTTAGGAGATAAAGTTTACCAAATGGAGCTTTTATTTATGTTTTTAAAACAAATGTTGTTGACCCAGGTTCTAAACCTACCTCAAACACCAACTCAAACCTAATCCATGCCTTTACCCTACCTTAAATACCAACCCTAACCTGAGAATTGTCCTAAACCTACCTTAAACACCAACCCTAACCTGACCCATGCCCTAAACCTAAACACCAACCCTAACCTGACCCATGTCCTAAACCTAAACACCAACCATAACCTGACCCATGTCCTAAACCTAAACACCAACCCTAACCTAACCCATACCCTAAACCTAAACACCAACCCTAACCTAACCCATGCCCTAAACTTAAACACCAACCCTAACCTGACCCATGTCCTAAACCTACCTAAACACCAACCCTAACCTAACCCATGTCCTAAACCTACCTTAAACACCAACCCTAACCTAACCCATGCCCTAAACCTACCTAAACACCAACCCTAACCTGACCCATGCCCTAAACCTACCTAAACACCAACCCTAACCTAACCCATGCCCTAAACTTAAACACCAACTCTAACCTGACTCATGCCCTAAACCTACCTAAACACCAACCCTAACCTAACCCATGCCCTAAACCTACCTTAAACACCAACCTTAACCTAACCCATGCCCTAAACTTAAACACCAACCCTAACCTGACTCATGCCCTAAACCTACCTAAACACCAACCCTAACCTAACCCATGCCATAAACCTAAATGCCAAACCTAACCCATGCCCTAAACCTACCATAAACACCAACCCTAACCTAACCCATGCCCAAAACCTACCTTAAACACCAACCTTAACCTAACCCATGCCCTAAACTTAAACACCAACCCTAACCTAACCCATGCCCTAAACTTAAACACCAACCCTAACCTGACTCATGCCCTAAACCTACCTTAAACACCAACCTTAACCTAACCCATGCCCTAAACTTAAACACCAACCCTAACCTGACTCATGCCCTAAACCTACCTAAACACCAACCCTAACCTAACCCATGCCCTAAACCTACCTTAAACACCAACCTTAACCTAACCCATGCCCTAAACTTAAACACCAACCCTAACCTGACTCATGCCCTAAACCTACCTAAACACCAACCCTAACCTAACCCATGCCCTAAACTTAAACACCAACCCTAACCTAACCCATGCCCTAAACCTACCTTAAACACCAACCTTAACCTAACCCATGCCCTAAACTTAAACACCAACCCTAACCTGACTCATGCCCTAAACCCACCTAAACACCAACCCTAACCTAACCCATGCCCTAAACTTAAACACCAACCCTAACCTAACCCATGCCCTAAACCTACCTTAAACACCAACCCTAACCTGACTCATGCCCTAAACCTACCTAAACACCAACCCTAACCTAACCCATGCCCTAAACCTACCTTAAACACCAACCTTAACCTAACCCATGCCCTAAACTTAAACACCAACCCTAACCTAACCCATGCCCTAAACCTACCTAAACACCAACCCTAACCTAACCCATGCCCTAAACTTAAACACCAACCCTAACCTAACCCATGCCCAAAACCTACCTTAAACACCAACCTTAACCTAACCCATGCCCTAAACTTAAACACCAACCCTAACCTGACTCATGCCCTAAACCTACCTTAAACACCAACCTTAACCTAACCCATGCCCTAAACTTAAACACCAACCCTAACCTGACTCATGCCCTAAACCTACCTAAACACCAACCCTAACCTGACCCGTGTAGCCAGCCAGTCCCTTTGACCGTGCCTTAACACCAACCTTCTGGTTGCCAATGGTAACACAAAGCGTTCGATAAACGAGACAGAACCGCCGCGTGATTGAGGCCATACAGTCCCCAAGGTCACTGACCTCCACATGGCGACTGAATGCATATTGAAATTGTTTTCCTCCATTTTTTACATATTCAATTGAACAGATTATAAACAGCTGTGGATAATATACGTATTAATTATGTAACATATATGGCGGCCTTTATCCATATTTATGTCAAATATTAGAAGTGGAAAATGGGGAGGGGTGGAGGATTCAGCCAATGTATGACAACTTGTGAAAACCGGATTGTTTTTATAGACATGACATGGAGAGCTTTTCTTATGTAGGCGATTCTTAAAGGAAAGTTAAATCAGAGGCTGGTGTTTCTTATATTCCAACAGAGGTAGGCGGATACTGTAGTACCTTCAAATATTTACTGTGTATACCTGCATGAATTCGGCAGTCGCGTTTATTTATTAAAACAATTACGGTAAAATATTTGAATTTAGTTAACGAACTAGCCTTTGTTAAAGTTTACGTGACAAAGTGGTTCCCCCACTAAAAGTTTCTTGACACCTAGTTTGACGAATGAAACGGTGCAAACACTGGGCTGGTCAAGTATTATGTCATACCGTAACAGAGAAATACAGTGGGACCTTCTGTAACACCATTAGAAACGGTGTGACACACTGCAGACTCGTGACACTAGCGACACACTGCATGCATGTGACACATTGCAACACACAGCATGCAGGTAACACATTGCGACACACTACATGCATGGGACACATTGCGACACACTACATGCATTTGACACATAACGACACACTGCATGCATTTGACACATTGCGACACACTACATGCATTTGACACATAACGACACACTGCATGCATTTGACACATTGCGACACACTGCATGCATTTAACACATTGCGACACACTACATTACTTGTAACACATTGCGACACAGTGTATGCATTGGAGACAGCATGCATGTGACACATAGCAACACCCTGTGATACCCTAAGACAGATTGTGACACAATGTAGCTCTGTGACACATTGCGACACACCTGTGGGTCCGTGACACACCGTGCCAATGTACGGGAGATAGGGCACAGTTCCACTACACACTGTATGTGACACATTGCGATACACACATGGGTCCGTGAC